TTTAAGCAACGCCAGTATTACGCCCACGTAATGTATAATGTTGCAGCCAAAAAAACATTTTATGAATATGTTGGTGGAGGGGCCGGAGTGGGAAAAAGCAGATTGATTTCTACAATATTTCAGTCTATAACTTGGCGAGCAAATAAACTTCCTAGGGCAACAGATTCCGTAAAGGTTTTACTTTGTGCTCCTACTGAAAAAGCAGCTTTTGGGATTGGGGGACTCAACTAAAAGTTGATTGATATCCAATTAATTATTATTGATGAGATCTCGATGGTCGGATCAAAAATGCTTGGATACTTAGATCAAAGACTTTGTCAAATTTTTAGAAGTCAAGATGTAAGTTTTGGGGGCAAGTCTATAATAGTGTTTGGAGATCTGAAGCAGCTTAGCCCAGTTGGAGATCGTTGGATATTCGCAGAAAATACATCTAATCCCTATAATATTCTGGCAGGAGCTAACCTTTGGAATAACTTTAAGTTTTTCGAGCTAACGGAAATAATGCGGCAACGTGACGACCACGCTTTTGCTTTGGCTTTGAATAATATGTCTGAAGCCAACATGACAAATGCAGATATTGAGCTTTTCAGGACAAGAGTTCTTCCAGTAACCGATGTTCCTGACGATGCAATTCACATATTCTGTTCTAATGCTGACGTAAACCATTACAACTCCCTAAAACTTGCCCAAATTAAAACTGAAGAATTTGTGTCAACTGCAGTAGATACAGTAAAGTCAGCTATTATGTCTGAAAGAAGTCGAGAATCAACTCTTAGGCATGCCCAAAACATAAAGACCTCTGAAACTCAGGGTCTACCATATATTTTACACCTAAAGACTACTGCAAAATATATGGTTACCGTCAATATTGACACAAATGATGGACTTGTAAATGGGGCAAATGGTCAATTAATGCGAAGTGACAACTGTATGGTTAACGGCTCATTATTAGTTACTGGACTGTGGATTAAGTTTACAGATGCCACTGTCGGTACTATAGCTAGGTCAAAAGTTCGAGGAAATGATCACCCAGACTGGACTCCATTTATAAACAGCCCGAGTATTCCAGTGCGGAAATTCGGGACATTCTTCTATTGATCGAAAACAATTTTCTGTTGTTCCTGCTGAGGCTATTACCATCCATAAGAGCCAAGGAGCAACCTACAGCAAAGTCGCAGTGTATCTTAAAAGAGGCATTAAGCGAGCTTCGTTGTACGTAGGTTGCAGCGGAGCAAATAGCGCATCGGGCCGTTTCCTTTTAGGAGACTTTGTCCCTCCAACTAGATTTGGAGCTACAAATGTCCAAGTAGAACTTGAACGTTTAAGAGGGGAAAAGGCTTTGACTACGCATTATGAATTTTTGGTCAATGAAAATGAGGATATCTCTTAATATTACCACAACGTGGAATCTCTTCGCGCTCATCGCGAAGATGTTGCCAACGACAACATTATTTGTTCTGCCAACTTTTTATGTTTTGTTGAAACCTGGACTCTTCCAGAAGAAGAGTACACTTTAAGGGATTTCGACATTATAAGAAGAATAGATTGCAATCGTTTGAATGGTATTGGGAAGAACGGAATATTTATTTATGCTAAACAAAACATTTCGCAAAATGCATTATTTCTGTTTGAGACAAAGAAGTCCACAAACACAAGGGCAACGTATCAATCGATTGCATTTAAATATCTTGACACGTCATTTATAATTCTTTATAGGAGTCCCGGATTTCCTATTGCAAGATTTCGAAATGAAATTAAAGCTGATGTGGAAAAAGTGCGTAGAATGGATAGTACTAAAGTAGTAATATTAGGAGATTTTAATATTTGCAGATACACAGGGACTGATATTCTGGAGGAACACTTGAATGCCTATAACCTCTTTTCAATCAATCATTCTCCCACAACAAAACAAATAACACAAATTGATTGGATATTTTCAAATTCTCGAATTCCACAAGCTCTTGCCATTACTTATGAGACACCATATAGCCACCACGATGGAATTTTTTTAAAGTATAGCTTGTAGTAGGTAATATAATTAAATATATAAATTGTAAAAATTGTAATAGGTTAGAAAAAATAATTAATTGTATATAGCATATTGTATATATGTATTTTTATGGTATTATTAATTTATTTATTTCTATCTATCAACGTAGTTTTCAAAATTGTATATATATATATAAATGATAATATTTTCCCCCTCGTGGATTGTGACCTTGACGTGGTGTGGGGGCTGAGTACGTGAAATTGTTTTAATATCACTGAAGCTAGCAACAATCCTTAAAATGTAACATAGTGTTACTAACATTGATTACTTCTTATAACTGCAAGGGTATTCAAACTTCGGCTTGCCGAAGTTAACTTCCTTTCTCGTTTTTATTTGCCATGAGTAATTTGACTGTTTTATAGAGCAGGGAACTTATATATATATTTGTTTTTGTCTTTAAATTAGTAACTGTTAAGTCCCCAACTTCTGTGACCGTCAGTGTTGAGAGGCCACTCAATCAGAACTTTGTCGCAGAATAGAGGCCTGACTTTTAAATGTTTTTTTTAATCGTTGAATTTCCTGTTGTGTTCATGGGCAAATTTACCAGAATTTCCTTAAAACAAGAACTATGAGTTATCCTTTTTATAATACTATACTTACAACTACGTGCTGAACGACTATTTGTTGAAATTAACGTAAATACAATTTATAGGTGCTTTCTGGCATACGCCCCACGACGTAATAGGCATTTGTCAGGTCGTTTGATAGGTTCGAGTCCAGAAAGAGCAGGAGCGCAAGCATTACGGTAACGCATTTAGAATGAGAATGATCGGTCAAATAACTTGTTTTCCAACGACTGGTAGGAGGGGGTTTTTTTGGACAGATCCCTTATCTAAACACAGCCAGTTTCCGTTTGGAACATTTGAGATGACTAGAAAAAGGGAAAGTAAGGACATGTTAGCTTAGCTAAGCCCCGTTGTGTATAATCGGCTAACACCCCTAGTAAGGGATATTTGTTTTGTTTTATGTTTGGGGCTTAAATATCGGACGGTTCTTGACCGAAGAGAAACTTGAGAAGCAGAGAGAAGCACCCCCAGCTTATAAACATTTTTATTGTCGACTTATTCAGCGTTTACGTCGCTGACCGGGTGTTTTGAAAAGAATCACGAGAACCTTTTATATTAAACGAAAAAAAACCTGAAGACAATTTTAGTGCGTGTAGTAATCAACACAAAGTTAAAGTTTATAAAAAAAGCGGAGGCCCTTAAAAAAAAGGCCCAATCATATAAATGAAGATGGCCTAGAAGAAAGTCTTATTCCAACCCAGCACCGGAAGAGTGACACGAGCAACAACGCGCGGAGACAATCACCAACCCCGTAGTGCAAGCGCGCCAAGGCTGGGAGATTCACCTGAATGAGAGCCGTGGGAGCTCGCACAGAATCAGCCAGGACAGGTAGATACCCTGTCTGAAGAAAACAATCTGGACCAATATACTGAAATGGAAGGAGCCGCCGGTGGGGAGAATCTACCCCTAGGGCCGCCGAAGGGGATATCAAGTATGCTTCCCCAATTTCAGAGGCATGAGGAGAACAAATTAGAGACTGCCGAACGGCGGGAAAAAAGGTTGATGGAGCTCTTAGGGCAGAGCAACGAAATGCAGCGTGGTATGAGCGCCCAGATAGAAGCGCTGTATGCACAAATTACCGAATTGCAGTCTCCGACACCTGCTGTCTTCGCCGCACCGAACTGTTCCGAATCCAACAAACAGCTTCTTGAGATATCAAGAGACTCCGCCTCTGGAACCGGAATCGCAGGACATGCTCAATAGCCAGATGTACTGGCTAAGAACACCCAGGCGGGTTGGTACTCCATCACACAATCAATCCAGAACAAACGAGAGGGAGTCGAGTCACCAACTGCATCCAGAGATCGATTGGAACTCATCATTTCAGGGACCAAGACTAAAAGATGTCAGACTAGACAGGTGGAACCTAAAGTTTGATGGAAGCTGTCGCGGCATGACAGTTGAAAGTTTCCTGTACAGCGTGGACCGATTGCAAGAATTGTATGACCTCAGCCGTCAACAAGTCTTTCATGAATTCCATCTGTTGCTGGCAGGGGCAGCCACGAAATGATATTGGCAGTTAATGGAGGACAAGGCAGAAGATTACGATTTTGACTACTACTCATTGACCCACTACCGGAAGTGACCTTATGAAAGTCAAGGAATTAATGGTACGCAAGCAAGGGCCGCACGAAACCTTTAGCGATTGTCTCGGATATGCACAACTTGCATTTCAAGCTCAAGCTCAAAATCGCTGAAGATGAATTCGTCGAGTTCTTGAAGGACAATATGAACTCCCAGATGGGTGGATTGCTGTTAACATCCCCAAAAACATCATTAGCGGAGCTCAAAAGAGAGGGTCTCCGAGTTGATCGCTGGTTGAGAAACACAGGAAAAAACATGCGCAGCCGAGCGGCGGTCAACGAAATAACGGAATTCCAGACCCTGGAGGACTTGCCGGACGCGGTTACGGTGGATGCGGAAAGACACACGAGGGCGTTATGAGGATGGACAAGGATGCCGAGGCCCATTACAAGCGCTGGTGTGTTATAAGTATGGAAAAGGAGCAGACTTCTACAGGAAGCATCCTTCGAACGACGAATCCTGCCCGATCAAATTCCGCGATGCCACGTGCAGGTTCTACGAGAAAGTCGGGACGGATGCAGATGCTAACCCAGCGGTGGGCAGATTTGGCTTACATCTTAAAGTAGTATTTGTAAATTTACTTTATTAAATTTTACAGCTGGCCTACGAAGGTGTACATTTGGTGGCGCTATTGGGTTAGGCATATCGTCGCTCTATTGCTTATACCTGTTAGCTCAAAATCAAGTCACAAACTCCTGTAGATGGCTAAGGTTTTAGCAGGAAAGCATAAAAAAATACAAAGTCTTTGTACAGATTGGATGCGCTTAACCGTGTAAAATGAACTTTTGTTTTACATTATCTAAAGTTGTTTGCATAAAATTTGTTTTATTGCATATAAAGCCACCCCTTTGAGCTACACTATTTTATTAAGAACGCCTTAAGAGTCCAAGTTTTCAGTATCGGCTCCTATCATGATTGCCTTGCTGCCCCTAGTCATCATGTTATTAATCGGAGCCTTACAACTAGTATCTTGTGCGGAGCACGTCTGGCAGTGGCAGTTCACTGCCTCCGTATACTGGTAGTTGCTAACGCTCTTTTCCGCTTTAGGGTGACAGTTTTTCAGGATTACTATCACTGGCTGCCGCTTTGCGTGGACGCAGACCGGATGGAACGAACGTTTATAAGGGAACTTCCAATCGGAGATCTCGCTGGTGTCGCACCGTCCCCAGCACGACCATACGCTCACATAGTCCCAGCACTCATGTCCCAGAATACCCGACGATGACAGCCCAATGGCGCCACAGTAGGTTCGCTGTTAATGGGCTCAAACTCCATTAACTTCGAAGAAGTAACACGCACCGTAGAAGTTCCTATGGAGAGAGCTAGGATCCTATAAAGAAATAAGAGCGCAGCTAGATTAATATCTAGCAGTCAATTTAAGGCAGGTTTAAAGCAGCACAGCCATGGTGTGCGCTGTGATTTTCCTTATCTACTGTGATGCCAGCGACTTATATCGCCTATTTATGTATACACCATACGTCTACATTGAGCCTGCGCTGCCACCAGTGCCAGGATACAGCCCCTGCACCTACTATAAGTCCAAAAATGGATTCTTTGGCGTAAGGGTTTCATTTTTAGTCTACTATTCGTTGGCTATGGGCAGAGAGGTACTGGATTCTGATTTAAATAAAAATAAAATCTGCCGTTTTGCTGAATTAAGGATTTCCTTCCCTAACACTTACATTTATTGATGAACGCGTTTGGCTCCATTTATCAGCTCTCCTTTGCAACAAAGGCAATTGATTTTTAACTTTTTAAACGCAGACATGTCCTGAACAAACGACGGATTTTCTTAGGAGTCTTTGTTCTGGTAGCGTTTTTAATGCAGTTTTCTTCCGTTTTGAGCGGTAGGAGCGACAAAATTTAAAAACAAGGTATCAATATAATCAAAAGGATACATCCAAAAAAATAAAATATTTTAAAGAAATAATTACTTAAGACAAAAAAAAGGAAAACGCTATAGTGGAGTACCTCGACTATTAGACAAGTTACTCAGCTAAAGGGACCAAAGGGAAATGGTGATATGCAAGCAGCAAATCTATGGTTACGTGGGCGGTAGACAGCCTTAAGCGCTATTGGCGTGGCAAACTTTTTTTTGGGTCAATCGATAGGTTTTGACGAGACCAATTCATTTCATTTAAAATTTTTATTCTAGAATCAAAACTGTAGGAGCCACAGTTTTGGGCGGCTTGTGGGCGTTAGAGTAAGCGTGGCACTCTGCTGAAACAAACTTGCGCTGCGCAGAAATCTCAGGAATCTGCATGCCTAATCCCAGTGTTGTAGCTTGTATAGTTTCCGAGATCTCAGCGTTCATACGGACAGACGGACATGGCTAGATCGACTCGGCTAGTGATCCTGATCAAGAATATATATACTTTATGGGGTCGGAAACACTTCCTTCTGCCTGTTACATACTTTCCGACGAATCTAGTATACCCTTTTACTCTACGAGTAACGGGTATAACAAAAAAGAACGCTATAGTTGAGTACCTCGACTATCAGATACCCGTTACTCAGCTAAAGGGACCAAAGGGAAATGGAGATATGCAAGCAGCAAAGCGAGATTAAAATGCGCCACCTACCGGCGTTAGACAGATTTAACTATAGGAGCCACAGTTTTGGGCGGTTTGTGTGCGTTATAGTGGGCGTGGCACTCTGGTGAAACAAACTTGCGCTGCGCAGGAATCTCAGGAATCTGCATGCCTAGTCCCAGTATTGTAGCTTGTATAGTTTCCGAGATCTCAGCGTTCATGCGGACAGACGGACAGACGGACACACGGACATGGATCGACTCGGCTAGTGATCCTGATCAAAAATATATAAGCTTTATGGGGTCCTTCTGCCTGTTACATACTTTCCGACGAATCTAGTATACCCTTTTACTCTACGAGTAACGGGTATAACAAGGAAGAACGCTATAGTCGAGTACCTCGACTATCAGATACCCGTTACTCAGCAAAAGGGACCAAAGGGAAATGGAGATATGCAAGCAGCAAAGCGAGATTAAAATGCGCCACCTACCGGCGGTATACAGACTTAAGCGTTATGGGCGTTAAAGAGGGCGCGGCAAATTTTTTTTGGATCAATCGATAGGTATTGACGAGACCCATACATTTCAGTTAAAATGTTTTATCTAGCATGAAAATTGTGGGCGTCACAGGTTTGGGCGGCTTGTGGGTATTAAAGTAGGTGTGGCAAACTTTATTTTGGGTCAATCGATAGGTATTGATGAGAACAATACATTTCAGTTAAAATTTTTATTCTAGCTGTAGAACCCACAGTTTTGGGCGGTTTGTGGGCGTTAAAGTGGGACCTTGCTGAAACCAACTTGCGCTGCTCAGGAATCTGCATGCCTAATCCCAGTATTGTAGCTCTTATAGTTTTCGAGATCTCAGCGTTCATACGGACAGACGGACATGGCTAGACCGACTCGGCTAGTGATCCTGATCAAGAATATATATACTTTATGGGGTCGGATACGCTTCCTTCTGCTTGTTACATACTTTCCGACGAATATAGTATACCCTTTTACTCTACGAGTAACGGGTATAAAAATTATATCTTTGGTGTTTTTTAACATATATCCTCCTAAGCTTGGAAATAACATTTTTTAATTATTTTTGAATTTCGAATTTAATTTTATCAAACCCGGTCGGCTTTATTATATAGCTGCCATTGGAACGACCGAAAAATTGGTGGGAAAATAATATGAAACAAATTATAGCTTTGGTGTTTTTTAACATATATCCTACTAAGCTTGGAAATAACATTTTTTAATTAGTTTTGAATTTTGAATTTAATTTTATTAAAATCGGACGACTATATCATATAGCTGCCAAAGGAACGATCGGAAAATTGGTGTGAAAATAATATGAAACAAATTATAGCTTTGGTGTTTTTTAACATATATCCTACTAAGCTTGGAAATAACATTTTTTAATTAGTTTTGAATTTCGAATTAAATTTGATCAAAATCGGACGACTATATCATATAGCTACCATAGGAACGATCGGAAAATTGGTGGGAAAATAATATGAAACAAATTATAGCTTCGGTGTTTTTTGACATATTATTTTATACTATTGGGAATATCATGTTTTGTATTTTTAAATTTAATAATTATACAAACATCGGCTTGCCGAAGCTAACTTCCTTTCTTGTTTAAAAATATTTTAAAGGAGTTGAGAAATTAATTAAATCAACATATTTTTTCCACAGTTACACGCCAAGTAATGTCTACAGCTGCTTGCCCGTAAATAGATTAATATAATCGTACAGTTTCACGCTAGTGTGTTTCGCACTCTCTGTTGAGATGGACAGTTTAATCTTAATCCTAATTTCCTGCGGAAATAATTCGAAGACGCTTGTTAAGTATAAATTGGTGCAATAGGCGACACCAAAGTGCCCCAAAATGTACAATATAAAAAGAAACGACTGGACTTGCTGGAAAAAGAAACGAGTAGAACGGCTTAAACAAAAGCAAGCAAGAATTTTGTATCGGGTTTAGATTCTATGGCCCTAAGTGAAAATGAGAACATTTTAGTGAAAATGGTTATAAAAGAAAAAAGTGGAAGAAGCGTTAAGTGGAATACAACAGAAAGATTATTTGCGCAATCCATTTTTTATACCCGTTACTCGTAGAGTAAAAGGGTATACTAGATTCGTCGAAAAGTATGTAACAGGCAGAAGGAAACGTTTCCGACCCCATAAATTATTATAATATATATTCTTGATCAGGATCACTAGCCGAGTCGATCTAGCCATGTCCGTCTGTCCGTCTGTCTGTCCATCCGGATGAACGCTGAGATCTCGGAAACTATGAGAGCTAGGCTATTGAGATTCTGCGTGCAGATTCCTGAGCTTCTTACGCAGCGCAAGTTTGTTTCAGTAGAGTGCCACGCCCACTCTAACGCCCACAAGCCGCCCAAAACTGTGGCTCCTATAGTTTTGATGCTAGAATTAAAATTTTAACTGAAAAGTAATGTTCTCATCAATACCTATCGATTGATCCAAAAAAACGTTTGCCACGCCCACGTTAACGCCCACAAACCGCAAAAACCTGTGACGCTCACAATTTTCATGCTAGATAAAAAACTTTAACTGAAATGTATTGGTCTCGTCAATACCTATCAATTGAACCAAAAAAAAAATTCAAAAAAAAAATTGCCACGCCCACTCTAACGCCCATAACGCTTAAATTGTCTACCGCCGGTAGGGGGCGCATTTTAAGCTCGCTTTGCTGCTTGCATATCTCCATTTCCCTTTGGTCCCTTTAGCTGAGTAACGGGTATCTGATAGTCGAGGTACTCGACTATAGCGTTCTTCCTTGTTTCTTCTTGGAGTTACTAAAGAAATCCTCTTCTTCAATTTGAAGGATAAGAAATATTTCGTGTTTTTTGATATACCACACCTCTTTAAGTCAAAAAGAAATAGTCTTTTAAAATCTAAGCTATAAACCCCCGATGGCATAGTCGACTTTGATGTTACTCGAGAGCTTTATGACTTGGAAAAGGGATCTGTCACAAGAATGACTAAGCTAACTAGATCTCACGTTTACCCAACCCGGTTTGAGCAGATGAGAGTTTGCTTAGCCACCCAAACTTTTAGTCATACAGTCGCTGCTGCTTTAAGATCATGCTATCAAAACGGACACTTGCAGAGAAGTTCTTTAGAAAAAGCCAAATCAACTGCAACATTTGCTAAGAAAATAAATGACTATTTTGACTGTCTTAATAGCGGCGTTTTGTATGATAAAAATCCATTTAAGTGTGCTCTACAAATTGATAATAGGATTTGGAAAAGTTTGAAGGAAATGCAAATATATTTATCCAATGTCAAACGCAGGGATATAAAATATATTGTATAGACGGTTTGCTGCAAACAACTGAAGCAATTTTAGGAATAGTTCACGATCTTTTTAATGATAATCAGGAACTTTCCTTCGTTTTTACAAGCCGTTTTAATCAAGATCCTTTGGAAAATTTGTTTGCTTGCGTTCGGGCAAATGGTGGGAACTGCAGAAACCCCACAGTTCATCAATTCAATACAATAATTGCTAAGTTAATGTCTCTAAAAATTCACAATTTTTCTTCGAAATCAAATTGCGAATCCGATACCGATATTATGCTTCCTGTAAAGCTGGACTCGATAATTTACGAGCCTAATGAAAATAAAGTTGCAAGCAATGATGAAACTGTTTTATTTTCCGAAATTGAGAAGGAAAATCAAGCTTATTTTGATAGCTCCGCAGATGATTTTGTTGCACCAATATACCCTTTGAATTGACATAAGTCATAAGTCACGGTGGAAGCGGAAAGACACACGAGGGCGTTATGAGGATGGACAAGGATGCCGAGGCCCATTACAAGCGCTGGTGTGTTATAAGTATGGAAAAGGAGCAGACTTCTACAGGAAGCATCCTTCGAACGACGAATCCTGCCCGATCAAATTCCACGATGCCACGTGCAGGTTCTACGAGAAAGTCGGGACGGATGCAGATGCTAACCCAGCGGTGGGCAGATTTGGCTTACATCTTAAAGTAGTATTTGTAAATTTACTTTATTAAATTTTACAGCTGGCCTACGAAGGTGTACATTTGGTGGCGCTATTGGGTTAGGCATATCGTCGCTCTATTGCTTATACCTGTTAGCTCAATCAAGTCAATCAAGTCACAAACTCCTGTAGATGGCTAAGGTTTTAGCAGGAAAGCATAAAAAAATACAAAGTCTTTGTACAGATTGGATGCGCTTAACCGTGTAAAATGAACTTTTGTTTTACATTATCTAAAGTTGTTTGCATAAAATTTGTTTTATTGCATATAAAGCCACCCCTTTGAGCTACACTATTTTATTAAGAACGCCTTAAGAGTCCAAGTTTTCAGTATCGGCTCCTATCATGATTGCCTTGCTGCCCCTAGTCATCATGTTATTAATCGGAGCCTTACAACTAGTATCTTGTGCGGAGCACGTCTGGCAGTGGCAGTTCACTGCCTCCGTATACTGGTAGTTGCTAACGCTCTTTTCCGCTTTAGGGTGACAGTTTTTCAGGATTACTATCACTGGCTGCCGCTTTGCGTGGACGCAGACGGGATGGAACGAACGTTTATAAGGGAACTTCCAATCGGAGATCTCGCTGGTGTCGCACCGTCCCCAGCACGACCATACGCTCACATAGTCCCAGCACTTATGTCCCAGAATATCGGACTGCGTTACTTTATACTTATATACCCGACGATGACAGCCCAATGGCGCCACAGTAGGTTCGCTGTTAATGGGGTCAAACTGCATCAACTTCGAAGAAGTAACACGCACCGTAGAAGTTCCTATGGAGAGAGATAGGATCCTATAAAGATATAAGAGCGCAGCTAGATTAATATCTAGCAGTCTATTTAAGGCAGTTATAAAGCAGCACAGCCAACCATCATGGTGTGCGCTGTGATTCTCCTTATCTACTGTGATGCCAGCGACTTATATCGCCTATTTATGTATACACCATACGCCTACATTGAGCCTGCGCTGCCACCAGTGCCAGGATACAGCCCCTGCACCTACTATAAGTCCAAAAATAGATTCTTTGGCGTAAGGGTTTCATTTTTAGTCTACTATTCGTTGGCTATGGGCAGAGAGGTACTGGATTCTGATTTAAATAAAAATAAAATTTGTAGTTTTACTGAATTAAGGATTTCCTTCCCTAACACTTTTATTTATTTATGAACGCGTTTGGCTCCATTTATCAGCTCTCTTTTGCAACAGAGGCAATTGATTTTTAACTTTTAAACGCAGCCATGTCCTGAACAAACGACGGATTTTCTTAGGAGTCTTTGTTCTGGTAGCGTTTTTAATGCAGTTTTCTTCCGTTTTGAGCGGTAGGAGCGACAAAATTTAAAAACAAGATATCAATATAATCAAAAGGATACGTCCAAAAAAATAAAATATTTTAAAGAAATAATTACTTAAGACAAAAACAAGGAAAACGCTATAGTGTAGTACCTCGACTATCAGACACCAGTTACTCAGCTAAAGGGACCAAAGGGAAATGGAGATGTGCAAGCAGCAAAGCGAGATTGAAGTGCGCAACCTACCCGCAATCTCAATCTATGGTTATGTGGGCGGTAGACAGCCTTAAGCGCTATTGGCGTGGCAAACTTTTTTTTGGGTCAATCGAAAGGTTTTGACGAGACCAATACATTTCAGTTAAAATTTTTATTCTAGAATCAAAACTGTAGGAGCCACAGTTTTGGGCGGTTTGTAGGCGTTAGAGTGGGCGTGGCACTCTGCTGAAACAAACTTGCGCTGCGCAGAAATCTCAGGAATCTGCATGCCTAATCCCAGTATTGTAGCTTGTACAGTTTCCGAGATCTCAGCGTTCATACGGACAGACGGACAAACGGACAGACGGACATGGCTAGATCGACTCGGCTAGTGATCCTGATCAAGAATATATATACTTTATGGGGTCGGAAACGCTTCCTTCTGCCTGTTACATACTTTCCGACGAATCTAGTATACCCTTTTACTCTACGAGTAACGGGTATAACAAGGAGGAACGCTATTGTCGAGTACCTCGACTATCAGATACCCGTTACTCAGCAAAAGGGACCAAAGGGAAATGGAGATATGCAAGCAGCAAAGCGAGATTAAAATGCGCCACCTACCGGCGGTATACAGATTTAAGCGTTATGGGCGTTAAAGAGGGCGCGGCAAATTTTTTTTGGATCAACCGATAGGTATTGACGAGAACAATACATTTCAGTTCAAATTTTTTATCTAGCATGAAAATTGTGGGCGTCACAGGTTTGGGCGGCTTGTGGGCATTAAAGTAGGTGTGGCAAACTATTTTTTTGGGTCAATCGATAGGTTAGGTTAGGTTAGGTTTGGGCGGCTGTCGGACTATAGTCCGACACACTTAGACCTCAGTGGGTCCGTTGTGATACCGCATGATCTCGTTTCTTCCTTCTCTAGGGTTCCGTTTCTAGTAGTTTCAGCTTGTGTTAAGCTGATCAGCATGTCTTCCACCCGGAAGATTTAATAAAGGCACTTATGCTTTTGAGATTAATCTCCGATATTTCGGTAAGATCGTCGATGAAGGGGCTTCCTAAGTGTTTCAGTCTGAGTCTGCATAGGGCTGGGCAGAAGCAGAGAAGGTGTTCTACCGTTTCCACTTCTTCCTCATCCCTACAGCTTCTGCAGAAATCATTTTGCGGGGCTTTTAGCCTGCCGGCATGCGGGCCAACAAGCCAGTGGCCTGTAAGAGCTCGGATCAACATACCACACTCTGTGCAGCTGAGCTTTAGTAGCTCCGAGGTTTTCTTGTTGTTTATCACAGGCCATGTCTGGTGAGAGATACGACACTGTGGTGCGTTTTGCCAATGGGTGTTGGCTAGTGTGTTGAAGTGGTTTTTTATATTTAGCTTGCAAGTAGCCATGGGCATACCGACACTTTCCTCTCCTGGTAGGAGAGGCTTGGTGGTGCCCTGCCTGGCTAATTCGTCCGCTATGCAGTTGCCTACGATGTCCCGGTGACCCGGAACCCATATTAGGCTGATAGTAAACTGATTTGCCATCTCGTGGAGAGATCTGCGACAGTCTGCTATTGTACGAGAGTTGGTGTTTGTCGAGTAGATCGACTTAATAGCCTTGGCTGTCACTATATATGTTTAGGTGTCCTCTCTGGAGGCTAAGGTTCCCTAAACAGGTTAGTGCTTCTTTTATAGCGTGGACCTCCGTTTGAAAGACGCTACTGTGGTTCGGGAGCCTGAATGACTTCCTGATATCTAATTGTTCGGAGTATACACCTCCGCCGACTTGTCCTTCTAATTTGGAGCCATCTGTATAGAAACAGATTGCGTCCGTCGTGCCCGGTCGGCCCTGTTCCCATTCCTCTCTATCAGGAATCAGGGCCTCAAAGGGTGTGTGACTATATTCAATAGTTTTAGTTAGTTTTAGATCCGGAATCCATTTATCATGCTGGAGAATTTTAGCATGGCCATATATATGGGCTTTCCACTGCCCTGTGTCCCTCAGTCGAATAGCTGCCGATTTGGCCCTTTCCATGCCTGCTAAGTCCAGGCTAGTGAGGTTCAAGATCGCATTCAGCGCTTCATTCGGGGTGGTTCGAAGGGCTCCACTAATACACAAAGCCGCCATTCGCTGTACTTTGTTTAGAGGAGTCAGTATGCATTGTTTGTGTAAGGCGGTCCACCACAGAGCCACTCCGTACAGTAGGATTGGCTTGACTACCGCTGTGTATATCCAGTTAACTATTCTTGGGGACATGCCCCATCTTAACCCGATTGCTTTTTTACAGGAAAAAAGTGCAATGGTCGCTTTTTTGGTTCTCTCTTGGTTGTTTAAGCCCCATTTGAGGCGTTTATCTAGTACTAACCCCAAGTACCTGGCGTGATCGCTAAAGGAGAGATTACAATTGTTTAAAATGGGTGGGTTAAGTTGAGGAATTTTGTACCTATTCGTAAATAGAACAAGTTCTGTTTTCGAGGGATTTACCCCGAGTCCGTTCGCTATCGTCCATTCCGATAGCATTTTAAGTTTAGCGGTCATAAGATCGCAAAGTGTTTGTGGATATTTACCATTAAAGATGATGGCGACGTCGTTTGCGTATGCCACGACCTTACAACCTCCTCCCTCCAGAATCCGCAGTAGTTTATTTACTGCGACATTCCACAAGAGGGGTGATAGTACACCTCCTTGCGGGGTGCCTCTGTTCACTAGTCTAGTCTGGGTTGAGGTCCCTAGTGTGGCTGTGACCATTCTGCTTATCAGCAATTTATGGATTAGCCTCACCATTGGCGGCTCAACCCCTAGTTCTGTGAGAGATTCTGTTATAGCGGTGGGAAGCACGTTATTGAAGGCTCCCTCTATATCCAGGAAGGCGATCAGTGTGTATTCCTTGATGTTGAGTGATTTCTCGATGCTGTTTACCACCAAGTGTAGCGCCGATTCGGTTGACTTACCTTTGGTGTAAGCGTGTTGTGCTTCTGATATTTGTGTCGGGTCTACGGTGGCCCTTATGTGTAGGCTTATCATTCTTTCAAAGCTCTTAAGCAGGAATGATGTTAGGCTTATTGGCCTAAAATCCTTTGCTGTGGTGTGAGTGGCCTTCCCTGCCTTGGGAATGAAAACCACCTTTGTTTCTTGCCATGCTGTTGGTAGTTCTCCTACCGCCAGGATGGATTGGAAGATTTTTTTCAACCAGTTTATGGCTATTTGTCCTGCTTGCTGGATGTGAGCCGGTGTTATCCCGTCCGGTCCCGGCGATTTGTATGGTTTGAAACTATGAATGGACCATTTCATGTTGCGGTCTGATAGGAGTGGATCTATTTCGATTCCCTCTCCTGTTCCTCTTTCAGGTGGATGACCTGCTTGTTGGCTCCCCGGGAAGTGAGCGTCTAGGAGCAGGTCCAAGGACTCTTTACTGGAGTCTGACCATGATCCATTTGCTTTTTGAAGATAGCCCAAAGGCGCGGCTGTCTTAGAGAGTATTTTCCTGAGCCTTGCGGCATCAGTTGTTTTTTCTATGTCAGAGCAGAAGGTCTGCCATGCCGTTCGTTTTGCTCTTCTAATGGAATTTTGGTAAGAGGCTAGTGTCCTCATTTCCCGCTTTTGCTCTGTTAAACAGGCATCTGCAGTTGGTTCTGAGGATAGAAAGTTGTTGGGTCCACCAGGGGGGTTTTTTCCTTCCTCTTGGCTTCTCTGTGGGGCATGCCACTTTGAAGGCAGTGTTGCATGCCTCTGTGAACTTGTATACTGTTTCGTCCAGCTCATGTGGGTTTGTGATGCTTTCTGACGGTTCCATGGGGAGGATATTTGTCAGAACTTCTTTGTACCTGTTCCAGTCTGCTCGTCTGGGGTTGGCGAAGCTGACCGGCAAGGGCGAATCAAGGGACAATACGGTTTCTATGAATCTATGGTCCGAGAAGGAGTGCTCGTCAGAGACTGCCCAGTTTTTGACTGCGCCTACGAGTGAATCTGGTACCAAAGTTAGATCTATGATCGTTTGGCAAGCTTTAGTTATGAAAGTAGGGGCATTGCCCCTATTGCATAGGAATAGTTTCGAGTTTAGAATAAAATCAAAAAGAGACTCACCTCTGTCGTTGTTGCTTGGGCAACCCCACTGGGTGTGATGGGCGTTGGCGTCACAGCCTATTTCCAATCCGTACTTGAGCTTTTCGCATTCCTCTGCTAGTCCTCTGACCAGCGCATCTGGGGGGTTTTCCTTCTCAAAGGCCAAATAGGCCGATAGAACCCTTATAGAGCCACTCTGCAGCTCCAGGCTTACTGCGGTGTTGTCTCCGTTGCTGTAATTGCGAAGTAGAAATATACTAAGATGCCTTTTGGCTAATATGCAGGTTCGAATTTTACCTTCTTTGGGGTCAAGCATAAGCTTGTATTCCTTTGTTCCTAGTCCAGCAACCTTGCCTCCTACCACCCAAGGTTCCTGTACGAGGACTAGGTCGGCTCCGCCTTCTGTCAGGCGAAGCAGAAGTGCAGCAGACGCTGCTTTACTGTGGTGAAGGTTTATTTGTAGAAGTCTTTGTGACATCTACAGCTTCAACCTCCACCACAGTGACGTCGGCCTCCTCTGTGTCGCTGAGGTCCACGTCCTCGATTGCCGGTCCGAGCGCACGCATCTC